TGCGGATTTGTGGGCCAACAAAAACTCCTGCTTTAATTTTGGCGTCACTCAATTTTGGAAAGACAGTTTTTAAGTAGGCAAATGCTGGTCCGTCCTTCTGGAGTTTTTTCACGAAGTTCGATATGAGTCCAAGTTTTAAGTGCAAAGGAGGTAAACAGATTTTCTCTGATTCAGNCAGGGTTTTCTCGAAATCTTTATCATTTTCAATTCACTTGCGGATTTGTGGGCCAACAAAAACTCCTGCTTTAATTTTGGCGTCACTCAATTTTGGAAAGACAGTTTTTAAGTAGGCAAATGCTGGTCCGTCCTTCTGGAGTTTTTTCACGAAGTTCGATATGAGTCCAAGTTTTAAGTGCAAAGGAGGTAAACAGATTTTCTCTGATTCAGTGAGTCGCTCCCCAACAATATTCCGATTACCAGGGATGAATTCATCGCGTTGCGGCCATTCTTTAGTTTTATAATGGTTCTCTCTGTCCCGACTGTTCCAATGGCATAGAAAGCAGCTGTATTTTGTGAATCCCAGTTGCATCCCCATGACGAGTGCGACCATCTTCAGATCAGCACAGATGAGCCACTTGTATTCCCTGTACTGAATCTTATCAAGCAGGAGTTGCAAGTTTGCATGGTTCTCTCCCAATGACATAGAGTACGCAACAGGCACAGAAGGGTAAATATTGCCAATGTGAAGGAGTACAGCCTTTAAACTGGTGCGAGAGGAATCGATGAAGAGGCGCCAAGCCTCTGGATGATGATCATGCCCCACACTTTTCATAAGGCCATCCACATTGGAGCAATAGAAAAACTTTTCTTCTTCCACGAAATACTCACGAAAGGTCTGATCTCGATGACGGAAATGGCTAGTAGTAACCCTAGGTTCTAAGACGTTGAATTCTTTGAGAACCGAACCCATGTACTCCGATCTTCCCTTCGTGAGGTTCAAGTCCCTAGCAAGATCATTCAGCTGCCCTTGGGTCATGAGACCTGGTTTCACTAACACCGGTGGTACTTCTTCTATGTAATTTTCGTCTTTGGAAATGTCTTCTGTGTCGTCTGTGTCGGTGCACACAGGTGCTTCTGCAACAACAGGCGTGTCCACCGATCTTGTATCCTTCTTCCCTTGAAATACAGGTACCATCGCCGAAAATGATGGTGGATCCAATGATTTTACGGTTGGATATTGGAGAGGCTTCTTATTTTTACGAGAATATCCGTATGTGTTTGTCAAGCAAAAATAACAGTCTGTGGATGTGATCATACTGTTCTCTCCATATCGCTGGGACGTTGAACGCAAGTTTCATCTCCCTGGTTTTCACTGATACCTGTAGCAGGACGCGACAAGAGCAGCAGCACATTGATGGAGTCCAGGGTTTGTCCTGGTTATACATGGATCGGCTGAACACGATCTCATAGGCTTCCTTCATAGCAGGGGTGATATTTATCCTCTGTGATGGAGAGATGAATTGTGCACAAACGTAACAGAATGAATCGGGTGAGTTTTTACATTTTCGCGACATTTCTAAGGAAGTTTTGAACTGCTAGAGAAGACAGTTCAATCCTAAAGTTGCTCATGGGTTTCTCCCCGAAATTCTTCTGTTAAATTGGACGGAACGAATGTGGAGTGACGACAAGGGTCAAGCGGAAGGGTTGAGATTACAAAGGTCAAACAGGTGAGAAAAGTGAATTCCTAGAAGGGTCAAATGGGGAGACGTGCAGGGAGATTCAAACGCAAAAGATAAGTCAGTCGATGGCTAGGGTCTTGAAATCTTGTAATCAAGGTTTGTAATCTCTCCATTTGCCCCTTTCGCTTATCTCCTACCATCACTCTAGTCGTCTCTCCACTCGCTCCACTCATCTCTCCCGCTTGACTTTTATGAATTTTTCTGTTCCTTCCCTATCTGGCATCAATTCTCTGGGATGAAGTTATCAAAATACACAACTTGTCAACTAAGGAATTTTTTAGTCCTCTTTCTATTGTAGTGATCCCGCGAGACGCGAGAGAAACGAGACCAGACAAACGAGGCAAGAGACATAACGAGACGAGAAAATTTATTTCAGAAACTTGATTTACTCAAATTTTTTGCGCAGAAAATTAATTTGACAATAGGAAATAAAGCTGTTGACACACACACGATAAAAAAAATTCAGGGATGATTCCAGCCGATGAAAATTCTGTGTCAGGAGGGGAGTCAAGTTGGAAAGTAAATTTGCATGACCAATGAAACAGTCCAGAAGCCGCATAAACGATGAGGGACATGGAACTGTCATCCTCGGGTCTATAAATAGTGAATAAAATAGTGAATGTAAGCCAATTTTACGCTGGATGATAGAGAGAAAATACCTCATATTCAACATTTCAACCCGCGACCAATATCAATCCCAACTGAGAAATTCATTAAAAACCTTCTCACAGTTCATTTCCATAACTGTGAATCTTTGCAAAAATAACCACGTGCTTATTGAATAAATTCCAGGGGGTTAGAAATATATACGAAGCCAACTTCCGAGAGTTCACGTAATCACCAGTTAATTCAACCAAATTTATGAATTTTAGGATTTTTTTGCAGCGAAATCACGCCACGGAATTGTAAGAGGTTTATTCTAACGGATGAAATAATTTTTCAACTATACTCTGTGTGACGTTTTAGTTAGATCACCCACCGCATTAATCCTGGGTGATCTAACATGTGACTAGTCTCTAGGACTAGTCACAAATAGAAATAAGCTTTCCTTTCCTAGGGCCGTCGTACCCTATGTTGACCGGCTAACTGTCGCATGGGATTCACTCAAGTTGGGAATGATAAGGGAATTGGAAGATATTGTACCGAAGATAAATACACGATTAACTGGTAAAAGCATGGTATATTTAACTCAACTACTAACTACGGTACACGACAGTGTTATTGATGGGTTCGGTAAACGCGTTATTAAGAGATCGGACTTAGACTTATGAGCTTGGAGATCCGCTCCACTTCGCTCCCGATCGTACTCTGACTCTAAAGGAGTCCTCAAAACTTGGCAAAGCCCCCAGTTTGCTGAACTAACCAGTCTCACGGTTTTCTTCACTAACACTGTCTCGTGTCATCACTGACAGAGACTCTAACAGTCAAATAGTCTAATAGTTCATCGTTCTGAACTGGACTCCTGGAAAACCGTGGGACTGCTTACCACGGTGTCCAAATGACACCGTGGGATTGCTGACCAGTGTCTGGATGACAGGAAAGAGAAATCATATTTCTCGTTCCCACCATCCAGCATTATAATATTATATTATCTTATTGCTAACTAAATCGACGTATTGATCGATCTCAATACGTCACACTCTGCAATTTTTTTCCATTCAATTCTGTCGAAAATTCATTGAATTAGAATTTTTTGAAAAAGTTCATTTTTGACAAATTTCACAACTTTAACATTTTTTTTCTCTAAAACCTGACGTGTTAGAGTAATTTTGCAAAAACCGTTGGATTCAGCGTGCAAAAATCTATAAGTGGTGTAAATTTCATCTTTGATAAAAAACTTGACCTTTTTTGTTGTACCGTGTTATAAATTTGGGCAAGAAAAAATTGTTAGGTTGCAAAAGAGAAAGAACAAAAATCAATATCTTGATCCCGGATAGTCATAAAGAAGAAATGCTCTCACCAGATGTGTTCAATGAACAACATGATTTCATACGCGATAGTACTGACGAGAGAGCGATTTTACCAGGGGTATTCACTCAGCGAACTGATATCATACCAGACAGTAATGAGGAGGGAGCACGTTTGTATCAACCAGCGTTGGTACACTCGAGCTAACAAATTAATATCACTCGAGATATTCAAATAATTTTATATTTATTGTTTATATTTATTGTGACTCTTTTTATTAGTTTATCGAAATTTTGATTTAATTGATTTTTTAAAAGAAATATTATTGTTTATTTTTTGGGATGAAATCACTTTAACACTGACACAAACTGACAATTTAAAAAGACAATATTGTGGTTTTTATTTTTACACGATTTTTACTGATGCAAGCGAGATATACAAAAATGTTTTAGACAAGATAGAGAGCTAAGGGCTGCTCTGGCTTTCACGACGGTGTTTGGTGTACTGATATTTTCTTAGTTCATTTGCAGAGAGGTTTGAAGAGTAAGAGGAGGGACGTTTGTCTGTAAAGGGAAAATCTGATTGGTCAAAAAAATGAGGCCCAACCTTCGGTGGTTAGAGATTTTAAACTGGAAGGGGAGAGACGAAAAATATCTGTGGATGGAAAATTTTAGATATTTTGAAACTCATAAACTTCATCCCTTGGAGGAAGACCGATTTTTTGCACGTCCACGGCTGGCAACGGATTAAGTCGTAAACGGCGCCCGGGCGCTGAATATTCCCGGAGAGACCCTTTTGTACCCGGTCAGTGCGCGACGTAGAGAACTGTCTAAAGTAGGATTGGAGTGTAATAAAACAATTTTGGATTCACTTTGGGCCTCACGAGAAGACTTATAATGTGACTTTAAATGTGTAAACACAAGGGAAGCTACATTTGATCAATGTGCACTGGAAAGCATTTCTTGAGGTTAAAATACCTCATCCTCTGGCTCTTCGTTCATCTTTTCTTTCTCTCTGTTCTATGTGAATTTTAACAAAACAAAAAAAAAATACGAAATGTTATTTGAAATCTTCAATTAAATTTTACGTCGCGCTCTTTTCGTTGGAGACGAAACATCCTCCCCCCGTTGAGAGATTGGTCGATCAACAGCTCTTAGTGATAGTTGTGCGATTGGCTGGTGAGCACATCCTTCTTCTGTGTCTGTTAGCTAGCTCCAGGTTGATAGAGGTAGTGGCACCACCCTTTTGATTGACCGTTTCAATACACTTGAGTTTCCATTTACCATGGTTTTTACTGATACGACTCTGATGGTATCGTCTCTGCCTGGGTGTATATCAATGACTCGCCCGACCTTCCATGTCACAGATGGTAGATTATCATCTCTGAGAAGTACCATTTTGCCAATGGTAATATCATGTTCTCCAGAGCTCCCTTTTTTTCTTGATGTTGAGTTCATTGAGATACTCTTTGTACCAGCGATTCCAAAAATCTTGGCGCATTTTTTGAATGTGCTGCCATTGGGACAGCCGGTTGGTTTTAATTTCTTGAAGGTTGTATTCTGGTAGACTGGTGAGCCTTTCTCCGATCAGAAAATGACCAGGAGTTAATGTCATCAAATCATTTGGATCATTAGAGATAGGACATAGTGGTCGAGAATTGAGGAAGCCCTCGATTTCTACCGTAAGTGTTGTAAAATGTTCCAACGTGAGTAATTGTGTGCCCATCACTCGCTTTAGATGGTGTTTGAATGATTTGACTGCTGCCTCCCAAATTCCTCCACAATGTGGAGATAGTGCTGGAGAGAATCGCCAGTCGATCCCCTTTCCGCTAAGTTCTGAAGCAATTTCATCATTGCTTTTTGGTGTTTGAAGTGCTGCCACTATTTTCTTTAATTCGTTGTTAGCGCCGACGAAGTTGGTCCCATTGTCTGATTGTATGATAACTGGTCTTCCCCTCCTACCAATGAATCGCCGCAATGCTCCAATGAAGGCTTCAGTTGTCAAGTCACTCACGACTTCCAAGTGTACAGCCTTAACTGCTAGGCAAACAAATACTGCTACGTAGACCTTGATGGCCACACGGTTGCGATATTTCGTTTCCTTTACATGGAATGGTCCACAATAGTCGACTCCAACATTTGTAAATGCGCGAGTTGTAGCATTTAACCTAGTGGCTGGTAAACTACCCATTGTATATTGAGGCACTGGTGGACGTGCTCTTAGACATGGGATACATTGACGAATGATTTTTCGAATCTGAGCTCGCCCATCTGGTAGCCAAAATTGACGCCTCAAACTGTGCAGTGTATTTTGCACTCCTGAATGCATTTGTGTTAAATGTTCAGTTTGGATGATGAGATTAGTCACATTATGATTTTTAGGTAAAAGTATTGGGTGCTTTTGATCAAACGGGATGTTTGCCTGATGTAATCGTCCGCTTACTCTTAAGATTCCTTGGTGGTCGATGAATGGATTAAGTGTCTTGAAATTTCCTTTATATTCAGTGTGTGTTTTGTTAGTAGCCAACCAAGAAATATCTTTGTGAAACGGATTACGCTGTACTTCCTTAATAATGGTCAACTGCGCGCCATTCAATTCCTCCGCTGTGATTGGTCCCTTCAATGGTATTTTGCTTTTCAAGTATTGAAAATATCTTCTCCAAATTGCCACATGTCTTTTCAGTTTAGTCTAAGATGAATAATAAGTAAATAAATTGAATTCTGGAATAGTATGGAGACACGTGGCTACCTTGATTTCGGAGTCGTCTGTCGGTTGTTGCACTGATTCCCAGTGCCAGGTGGTCTCTGGATATTGCAGCCACGTGGGCCCTTGCTTCCACAAGCTGTTGCCAACCAATTCATTTGGCAATTGGCCCCTAGATAAGGCATCTGCAGGGTTATCTTCAGATTTGACGTGTCTCCACTCAATGCCAGGAGCTCCTGATTGTATGGCTGAGACTCGATTAGCCACAAAGGTCTTTAGTTGATGGGGTGACGTAGAGATCCAGTGTAGTGCGACCATTGAGTCAGTCCAGAAGATTACTTTGGAAATTGGGATTTTGATAGCCTCTTTGGTAACTTTATACAGTTGAACAAGTGTGTTAGCTCCACATAATTCGAGCCTTGGTATCGAAACGGTTTTTAGGGGTGCGACTCTCGACCTGGAGCACAGAAGTGATGTTTTGATGTCTCCCTTCTCATTGCTCGATCGCACATAGATACATGCTCCATATCCTCTCTCGCTTGCATCGCAGAAACCGTGTAGTTGAATAGTGGTGGGATCTACAATCAGAACATTCCGATAAAATTGTAATTTATTAATTTAGGGAAGTTTGTCGCAGAAATTGGTCCATAGAGTGTGGATGCTGGTGGGTACAGATTCATCCCACTCTATTTTTTCTGCCAAAGTTTTTGAATGATACTCTTGGCGAGTAGAATTATCGGGCCAAGGAGGCCTAGTGGGTCGAAAAGTGAGGCCACATGAGATAAAATGATTCTCTTTGTGATTGTATTACTGGTAATGATTGGTTTGACAGAGTAATTGATATTGTCAGACTGTGAGTTCCAAAAAACTCCCAGCGGCTTCAATGTCTGATCACTGTCAATTTGTAGATGTTTATTGATGTCCTCTGCAGGTAGGTGCTGCAGAAGACCCATTTCGTTAGATGCCCATTGTCTGATATTCAGGCCTGCTTGGTGGAGGCACTGAATGATTTAGGATTGGGCTTCTCTGGCTTCCCCTAGGGTGGAAAAGCCAGTGAGGAGGTCGTCGACGTACATATCCTGTTGCAGGATACGGGCTGCAACAGGATATTTATCAGCGTGATCTCTGGCCAGTTGTTGAAGGCTCCTAATGGCCAGGAAGGGTGCGGCTGATAAACCGGAGGTCACTGTGTTGAGTTGATAGGTCCTAATTTGATTGTCATCATCATACCACAAGATTTTCTGATATTTACGATCCTCAGATTTAATGAGAAATTGCCTGTACATTTTCTCGATGTCACCCGTCAGAACATATTTATGGAATCGAAACTGTGTGATTAATGAAAATGTCATCCTGGATGGTGGGACCGACCATTAGGGCTGCGTTGAGTGAGATACCCCCTGGAGTGCTGGCTGACCCATCGAAGACTATACGGACCTTGGTGGTCAGACTAGTCTCTTTTATTACTGCATGGTGAGGCAGGTAAAATCCATCTTCATTGTCGTCTAATACATGCGTCATGTGGTTGAGCTCCAAATATTCTGCTAGTACAGTTGTGTATTGTTCTTTCAAATCAGGTTGACGATTGAATTTTCGTTCTAGAGATTTTAATCGTTTCAGTGCCATTTCTTTTGATGAGCTTAATTGATGAATTGTTTCTTTGCATGGGAGACTGACGATATATCGCCCATCGATATCTCTTGAATAATTGTCGTTATAATGGTTTTCAGCTGCGTGTTCTTCTGGAGATAGGAATTTTTGTTTGGGTATTTCTTCTAATGCCCAAAATTTTTCTAGATTGAAATCGGTTGAAAGACAGAATGTTTGTTGAGCTGATTCACTGGTTGCTGATGTGCTGCTTCCCCCGACAATCCAACCGAGTTGAGTGTTTTGCAGGTATAAGTCGGGAGGAATCGCTTATTGTCCGACGCAGAGTAATCCCAGTGTAGGCCCTGATCCTAACAGCATCTCGATGGGTCCAGGATGGTAAAATGTTGGATCTGCTAATTTCAGATTCTTTGGTAATTTCAATGCATCTCGTGATGAAGAGTGTGATGGAACAAGCTCAGCTATCTTGGGAATAGTGAGGAAAGTCAGAGTTCTTTGATATTTACTCGTTATTGATTTGAAAGTAGCAGTGACTTGATATTTTGTATGTATTGTGAGACCGTTGATACCCCCTACCGGAATGGAGTAATCTTTTTTCTCCAGCTTCAATTTATTAGCAAGCCGTTCTGTGATAAAGTTCGTTGTTGAACAAGTATCTCACAGGATTCTGGTGCGTATCGGTCTTTTGTTTTGGTTCAATACATTTACAATCGCTGTTATGAGCATTTGATTATTGGCTTGATTATTAATTAAAGCTACACTATTCTCCAAACCGGTGATTGATTGTCAGTTTTGAGCATTGACGTTAACATTGGGGTGGATCAACGTGTTGTGTCGCTCTTCACATACCCAACACATGTGTTTCGATGGGCAGTTGTCTTTATTATGTCCCTTCCGTAAACAATTTGGGCAAAATGCATGATGGTTTACCGCTTGGATGCGACTTGCGATGTTCATTTCTCGGAATTTCCGGCACCTGTACAACGGGTGATTGTCTTGATTGCAAATTGAGCATTTCGCATCTGTCGTTGTGCAGAATGCCTTCGCGTATTGTCGTTTAGCACCTTGTTTGTTAGTGTTCTCAATTTTGTTCTCAGTTTTCTGATTTGTCATATCACGAATTGCAAAACGGGATACTCTTTGAGATAGAAATTCGAGTAAATCCTTGGATTTTGGGTAAATCCCCTTTTTTTGGATCTCATCCCAAGCCTCTCTGGTGGTTGGATGGAGGACATTTCCAATGCGGCTACAATGGTTTCATCATTAATGACAACACCAACGGTTCTCAGTAATTCCACGTGTTGTCTCGTATCGTCTACAAGTTTGCTGAGTTTATCGGCTGTGTCCGCAGTCTGTTTCGGATAGGTCAGTAGTAGTTTATAGTGTCTCGAGATAATTAAATGATTATTAGAGTAAGTATCGACTACGATGGCCCAAGCCCTGTCATAATTTTCGCCTTGGATTGGTATCATACTTATTTTATCTAGGGCTGGGCCTGTGAGACATCTTCTGAGGTATGATAATTTGTCTGCCTTGCTGAGATCTGTTTGATCGTGGATCGTTGATTCGTATTCTCCTCTGAAAGATAACCAAAATTCGTATTTTTCGTTGAACGTTGGCAGAGTTGCTACTGGTAATTTGAGTCTCCTGCGCGAGCAAACGGAGTTTCCATGTTCCGTGCCTTCGTTACTCTCCAATGAATTGGACCTTATTGGGTTTCCGCGACAGGCCAGCAATCTTTCAAGTTCAGCAATATTCTCGTAATAATCAGCTTCGATGTCATACCTCGCTCCCAGGGGATGATGTTCATTGTCAGGATCTATTCGTTCGAATTCTTCGCATACTTCAGAGATGTAACTCTCGTTACTTCCAATTCCTTATTCTTATAAATCGATAGGAATTTCGTAATCAACAAATTTTGGCCCTTGAAATGCGTCAAATCCTTTTTTAGCTTCTTTAAACGCTCCTCCAGTTGCGCTCGCTGCTGTTGAGCTCGCTGCCAAGCTTGCTGTCGTTGAGCTAATGGCATGTTTTCGTCCATGGCAGGGTGAACTTGTGCTATGATGTCTTCATCCATGGCAGCGTGAACTTGTGCTATGATTATAGTCTCAATTGTGTCAATTGTAATCTACACCTTTGCACTGATTATTGTCTCAATTCACTCACTGTCACACTGGTTACTGTCTCAGTTCACTCACTTTTATTTTTATTTTTATTTTTATTTTGAAATAATTGAATGAATACGAAAAAATCCGGCTCGAAGGACCATAAGTTGTACCAACCAGCGTTGGTACACTCGAGCTAACAAATTAATATCACTCGAGATATTCAAATAATTTTATATTTATTGTGATTGGATTTCTTAATAATTGCTTTACGGCTCTTTTAATTAGTTTATCGAAATTTTGATTTAATTGATTTTTTTAAAGAAATATTATTGTTTATTTTTTGGGAAGAAATCACTTTAACACTGACACAAACTGACAATTTAAAAAGACAATATTGTGGTGTTTATTTTTACACGATTTTTACTGATGCAAGCGAGATATACAAAAATATTTTAGACAAGATAGAGAGCTAAGGGCTGCTCTGGCTTTCACGACGGTGTTTGGTGTACTGATATTTTCTTAGTTCATTTGCAGAGAGGTTTGAAGAGTAAGAGGAGGGACGTTTGTCTGTAAAGGGAAAATCTGATTGATCAAGAAAATGAGGCACAACCTTCGGTGGTTAGAAATTTTAAACTGGAATGGGAGAGACGAAAAATATCTGTGCATGGAAAATTTTAGATATTTTGAAACTCATAAACTTCATCCCTTGGAGGAAGACCGATTTTTTGCACGTCCACGGCTGGCAACGGATTAAGTCGTAAACGGCGCCCGGGCGCTGAATATTCCCGGAGAGACCCTTTTGTACCCGGTCAGTGCGCGACGTAGAGAACTGTCTAAAGTAGAATTGGAGTGTAATAGAACAATTTTGGATTCACTTTGGGCCTCACGAGAAGACCCAAAGTGTTATAAAATGTGTAAACACAAGGGAAGCTACATTTGACCAATGTGCACTGGAAAGCATTTCTTGAGAAAAGAGAGGAAAAGGTGGTCTAGACCTTTTCTCAATTGCTTGTGCATGTCATTCTGTAAATTACCGGATTATAATAAATTTTGGGTTATTTTATGGTTAAAATACCTCACCCTCTGGCTCTTCGTTCCTTTTTTCTTTCTCTCTGTTCTATGTGAATTTTAACAAAACAAAAAAAAATACGAAATGTTATTTAGATTTTACGTCGCGCTCTTTTCGTTGGAGACAAAACAACGTTTATCAAATTCATTCAGTGAACAACGTATTTCTGATAAGTCCATATCGAGCACATCAGGAAATATCCACTCTCTAAACTATCAGCAGAGTTTAGAAAGTCAACATACCCTCAGTGATGATGACTTCATACCCCCGGATGTTTTAAACAGTGCCAAAGATGCTGAATCTCTCCTGATCCCACTAAAATCTAAAATGGTCTATAACAGAGCCGATGAAAATTTCAACAAGTTTTAAAAGGACAAAAACATAAAAGTAATCAATGAAAAAGTATTACTGGGGTATTTTAATATGTTATCAAGGCCCCCTCACGCCGTGGCTCCTGGATCCCTGTGGTCAATTTACTCCATGCTTAAGAAGACTTTATCTGTTTACGACTCCATTGAGATTGACAAATTACCAAAGCTCACACTCTTCTTATCAAGCAATCAAACAACTTCTAATCACTAGAAAAAAAAGGCCTCGATATTCACTGATGTGACATCCGTCGAAGAATGCTTTATAATCCATTTTTTTTTCCTAAATAATTTTCTCTATGGAATAACCATTATTTCATAATTTTTATGAACGCACATCTGTAAGGAGAGTCAAATGCGAAGATCTCAAAGGTTTCTTGTAGGAATAGAGAAGGTGGAATAATAGACTGGAAAGGGTAACCCAATCAAATGTAGAGACGACACCCCTAAAAATTATCCGTGTAGAATTAAATCACGAATGAATGAATTAATATTTTCTTGTTTTAAAATTGTGGAAACTATCAATTTAACCAATTAGAAAGACATGAGATGTCTGTGAATCTCATTACCGGTTGGCAATAGAAAAATTAATAACACCTCGGAAAATGTATGAGAATGTGAATGGGGTGAAACCTACGTTTTGGGGCTAACCCGGAACCTCACCGTTTAAGAGGTTTCGCGGGTGACTAAGCTGGACAGTGACCATATAGCGGAAGTGTGATGCTATGACTCAATTAGGGGAAAAACGCCTAAAAATAACCACAAGTTATGATACGACTTTTATTAGGGGAAGCAGATGGTTGACTATTCCCTTCACAAAATTTGGAAAAACTACGCACGTCCAAACGGAAACAGAGGAGGCCTAATGTCACCTAATCACCAATCAACGAGCTCTATGAAGGGATAGGAGAAAAGTCACCACCAATCCCCGAATAATATTCAAAGTCCGCAAAATCCAATAATTAGGCGGATACCTGCAGAAGACAATGGTAAAGACAGGGGGAAGCTTCTAGAACCTTCCACCCCTGATGACACACTTTCAATTCAATATAAAAAGGGAGCCGCGACGCGGAAAAAGTCAGTTCCACTACACGTTCCAGTTCTTCATCAACCCTTCCGTTGGCTACTTTCATCGATTCTACAAGTGCGATAGTCACAAGTTTAGAATTAGTAGAGACGCCCGTTCTCTGAGTTAGATAAATTCATTCAGTTCTAAAGTGGGGACCCAAGTAATTTTGAAGTAACAATCAAATGTAGAGTTTTTCGCAACTTTACTTATTTAAAATATTCTACGACTTTTTGTCAATGAATGGAATCTTTCATGATTCTTTGATAATTTATATTGCCAACTGAAAATATCGGAACTCAATTAACATCTTAGAATTCAAATAATTATTATTCATTCATTCAAAGTAATTAAAACGAAATTATTGTAAACGAATAACTTTAGAATTAGGAAACGACAAACCTATACAAGCACAACGAGAAGAAGGTCACGTAAGTTGTACGACCATCATTATAATTGTAAACTCACCAAAATTTCAGAATATAATTGTTCAGATTTAAAATTCTTTTATTTAAAACTAACGCCTTGTGTTTCCAGCCAAGACACTTTCCCATTGATAATACTGGGGAATAATTAACTTCAATTCAAGGGGACCTTATTATTCAACTCTCTAGTGATTTGTTTTCTAACATTTGCCAATTAAAATTTATTTCAAAAGTTTTCATACTTTTTACGTCATGTTCACATGACAACCAATGTTATAGTCGAGATTTCATCATTCCCGACATAACACTGAAGCACAAATGGCTAAAATCTTCCAAGAAGCACCTGACAAAACATATCTTCCAGCTAAGGTAAATAAATATCACGATAATTCACCGATGAATTGTAGGCAAAAATACCAATAATCTAATTAATTCTATCATTTGCAGGTAGCATTGATTCTTGGTACCCACGGTCGATGCAGGCGAAAAGAGCTGCACGACTTGACACTAGACCATTTTCAAGATCACAATACGTGTCTTAATTTTGTTTTGGATAAAACAAGGAATTGCACAGGTCGAGATTTTTCTCTTACTGGTGATTTTTGTAATATTGTGCGGAATTATATGTTTAAGAGACCACAGGATTATAACGACAGAATTTTTTTTATAAAGTACGTGAATGGTGAGTGTTGTCGTGAACACATGGGGATTCATAAGATAGGAAGTTTCCCTAAGGAAATCGCTACCTACTTGAACCTCCCAAACCCTCGACCATAAACTGGACACTCGTTCAGGCTCACAGGAGCTACAGTTGCAGCAGAGGCAGGACTAGATTTTATCGCCTTAAAAAACTAGGAGGTTGGAAATTCTCAGCGACAGCTGAAGGCTATTTCGAGAAAAGTAAAGCCCAGATCAATGAAGTATTAAGGAAAATCAGCAATGCCGTTATAAAAGAAATGGCATCTTCCACTGTTACAAAGCCTTCATTGCTTCCACCAACTCCCTCTAAAACAATAGGGCTTCATTCTTTGAGTTCACAGGCAGCGATGCTACTTCTAGCTACAAAAAGAGTCCAAACTTCAATGTCCAGCTGGATGCATCAGCCTCAACTCCAGCTCATCGTGATGGCAGCAGAGTACTAAATGAAAATCAACAACTCCTAAACTCTGCGTTCATCCTCTTCAGCCTACTACCCTCTAATTCATTAATTGTTCACGATTTAATTTCTTTGGTTCACGGGACAAAGAAAATCCTCAATAAGGAACATGCATTTCTTATCTTCACAGGTTCTGTTCAATTTTGTTCTTAATTCTTAATCCAAAGCTCATAATTAAAAATATTCTTACCAAAAAAAGTAACGTCGGTTGTATTAAGAAATCGTTCATGTTTTTTTTTACTTTATCATCATATTGTTTTCGTTGAAAGATTTGCATATATGTGATTTTCTAGTGCAACTAGTTAAATACGTAGAATAAATAACTTACGTATATGAGTAATATAATGTAAATGAATAAATAAAGTGATACATAATGTTTCTGCAATGCTACTTTCTCACAGAAACACAAAACGGCCGTGGAGGTACTGGCCCATGCTAGCGCGGTTGATATAACCGCCTACCCGATGCGTTTTTATCTCACCGATTGATATGCATCTTCATTGCATCATTTCTAGTTATATTTCAATCAAAACTGCCCCTGAGTAAGAAACGTCGAGCTTAGTCTCAACATGGTTAAATTTTTTGAATTTTTTTTATTAACCCTCTAAGGTTTCCACTAACCGCACAGACAAACGTCAGGTTATTCAGTAATATGTAGATATGTAACCTCTTTCCGTTACCTGTGGGGTACTTGCAAATACAAATAGAAGAGTCCTCCCTCGTAAGGGCTCCCAATCGGTCCAGTGATAGTCGCCTGCCAGTGACAATGCATACTGTCAAGTGGGGTAGCTTCAATTCCCTCAGGAGGGTCGATCCGCAGGCTCTTCAGCTCCATCCTCAGTCGATTCCTTCTCCAAGAGGTATCTTGGATCCCTGCAGGCCTCGACTTGAGGCACATTTGTGCTAAACAAGTTCTACAGGGAGCAGATGAGGCCAAATAGTCATAAGTTTTGTACCAGTTCTCCACGTGTCCAATGGGCTTGTGCAAGGGCCATCGGAGTTGGACATGTTGCTGCCACTGCTGGTGTGGCACATGGGTTAGTAGTAGCCCATACCATCTACGACAGACGTTTGCTGCTGACCATAAACTTACGTCGTCCAAGTGAGAAAACACTGCAAGAAGAACTTCTGGGGGCAGATGTTCCACTAGACCTGATAATAATTATAATAGATTAAAAAACGATTCAGAGACTGAAAAAGAAATCATGACCAATTGTCGTTAAGGATGTTTAACCTATCAAATGGACAACTTAGTTGAAAATAAAAATAAAATTGACTAAATAAATCATTCATGTTACAAATTGTTCTTTTCATCAACTTAGAAGTGTTTTCCGGTCTCAAAAACAATAATTAAAGTAGTACATACGAACTCCGCATGAGTGGTTGAGTGTAACGGCGGATAATTAATTAAAAATGCAAAAAAAAATTCATTTATCATCGACAATTTTTGATATGACCTAAAACTGTGATAACCATATCTTATTAATTCACTGAATTATGTTTTCAATTATTCATCCAAACAATAGTCACTTGTTTGACTAGCGTGCTTTTATCAGTGGCAACGTTGTAAATTCGAAAAGATTCCCCGCGCAATGACACGAGTGTCACATAACCCATAAAACATCCACCATGGCCATGCCGGTCAGGGGGGGCGTGGTTTGTACTTTTATAACTCTACAGACGACTGTTACGTCGTTGGCCGTTCGTAACTAGGTGGCGTTGCGCACCTGGCGGTCAATTTAAATTCCAATATGATCAGATTAATTCGAATGATTATTTAATTATTCTATTCTTATTGATACTGCGTAGCTGAACACGTGTGCTCTGGCGGACAATGACATCTCTTTTAAAAATCCAATTACAGAGTTCTTATTCATGAGAGAAATAGGATAAACAGTCGGAAATTAACCGTTGAAAATAACGAAAGTATAAACAGAGTTAATATAAATATTGGACGACTGTTGATTTTCTGACGTCGCCATAAACACCATAAAATTCAAACGTGAACCACTCTAGAAAACAAATCTCAAACAAGACTCCCATTGTGTCTTTGTGTTTCGCCTGAGAACGTCATTGTTTGCCGGGCCCACGTGCGTCTTAAAATCTAGAAATAAGTGGGGGTGGCTGGCGANTCACGTGCGTCTCAAAATCTAGAAATAAGTGGGGATGGCTGGCGACAGTTGCAGCAACTCCCCACCACTTTTTGAGTTTAGCATGTAAAACTTTTGAATGATATTAGAGAGAAAGAAAATGCGTGCGCAATAATCATGGAGTGGGAGTGATGGGACCCTCCGAAGGGCAGTTTTTGGATAAGTTTCATCAGTTCGACGAGTCCCTCCTTAGAGATCAGATCTTCTAGTTAAAATCATATTCAGAGTCTTGTAATATTATTAAGTGAATGATTAAGTGAATAAATAGTTTACGTGCTCTCCCGAAGCACTCAGTGTTTTGATTTATGAAGATTGAATAAACCCTCATCCCAATTGACATCGAAATCAAGGATTTATAAATTATTCATTGGATTGGACTTCGTTGGATTGCCCATCCGGGCTTCAGCTGTGAAACGTTCCTGCCTCCTTTATCCGTCAATTCGAATTTTGGTGCTGTTTTCCTAGTGACATTTGGGAGGACATAACACGACACCATCTAGGGAAAGTTACCATCTAGTGAGAAACTTCGCAGAACGAGTCTACAGAACACAACTGTACAGGAAAACGAGTCTACAGAGAACAACGCCGGATTTTCATGTTCGGGTCGTCAATCGACGTCGGCATGGTAGAGATTTTAGAGGGCATTCACTTATCGACCGTAATTTTAGAGAAATTTTTCCGCCGAGTGATGGCGCCAAAGAGGCGGGTTTGACTGACTACAAAAAAGTTAGTTGGTACCCCACGGGAAAGGCGGCGTCCCGGTCGAATTGTCGGTAAATGTGAGTTGGGTGCGTGAGTAACTCGGCAGTAGCAGTCCCTCTGTCACAGGGACAGGTTCGGAGGGGAATTTTTGTCCTCCTTGTACTCAATGTTTACATTATGTTTTTCAGTTGATTTATTCGCCGACTAGTCAATATTAAGGGATGAAACAAAGACTGTTCAATGGAGAATTAAATTCCCCATCCATCAATCCCCGTTTCATCCCTTAAAATCTGCAATAAAAAAATTAATATTGCGACGAAAGTCACGGCGCTATAAGAAACCCAATGTTTTCTCGGCGCAGATTGACTCCCCATTAATTCGCCCGCTAATTAAAAAATCGTCTCTCCCCTCCTAATTAACATTAAGGAACGAAACTAATGCTGTTCGATAGAGAATTAAATTCCCCACTCAAAAACCCCCGTTTCATCTCTTAATCTCTCTAACGAAACAATTATAACTGCGACAAAAGCCGCGACGCTATCAAAAACTCAATGGTTTCTCGGCGCAGAGCGCTTCCCCATTAATTTGCCCGCTAATTAAAAAATCGTCCCTTTTCTCCTAATTAATATTAAGGAATGAAACCAATGCTGTTTGCTGGAGAATTAAATTCCCCACCCAACAACTCCCGTTTCATCCCTTAATCTCTCTAATGAAAAAATTATAACTGCGACGAAAGTCGCGGCGCTATGAAAAACTTAATGGATTCTAGGCGCAGAGCGCTTCCCCATTAATTCGTCCCCTAATTAAAAAATCGTTTCTCCCCTCCTAATTAACATTAAGGAATGAAACGGGGGTTGTTAGGTGGGAAATTTAATTCTCCATCGAACAGCGTTGGTTTCATTCCTTAATCTCTGTAATGAAAAAATAAAAACTGCGACGAAAGTTGCGGCGCTATGAAAAACTCAATGGTTTCTCGGCGCAGTGACTCCCGACAACTCGCCCGCTAATTAAAAAATCGTATCTCTGCTCCTAATTAACATTAAGGAATGAAACCAACGCTGTTCGATGGAGAATTAAATTCCCCACCCAACAACCCTCGTTTCATGCCTTAGTCTCTCTAATGAAAAAATTATAACTGCGACGAAAGTTGCGGCGCTATGAAAAACTCAATGGTTTCTCGGCGCAGTGACTCCCGACAACTCGCCCGCTAATTAAAAAATCGTATCTCTCCTCCTAATTAACATTAAGGAATGAAACCAATGCTGTTCGATGGAGAATTAAATTCCCCATCCTTCCACCCCCGTTTCATTCCTTAATCTCTGTAATGAAAAAATAAAAACTGCGACGAAAGTCGCGGCGCTATGAAAATCCTAATGGTTTCTCGGCGCAGAGTGCTTCCCCATTAATTCGCCCGCTAATTAAAAAATCGTCTCTTTCCTCCTAATTAATATTAAGGAATGAAACCAATGCTGTTCGATGGAGAATTAAATTCCCCATCCTTCCACCCCCGTTTCATTCCTTAATCTCTGTAATGAAAAAATAAAAACTGCGACGAAAGTCGCGGCGCTATGAAAAACCTAATGGTTTCTCGGCGCAGAGTGCTTCCCCATTAATTCGCCCGCTAATTAAAAAATCGTCTCTTTTCTCCCAACTAATATTAAGGAATGAAACCAATGCTGTTTGATGGAGAATTAAATTCCGCATCCTTCAAACCCCGTTTCATTCTTTAATCTCTGTAATGAAAAAATAAAAACAGCGACGAAATTCGCGGCGCTATGAAAAACCTAATGGTTTCTCGGCGTAAAGTGACTCCCCATTAATTCGCCCGCTAATTAAAAAATCGTCTCT